AGAAGTTGAAGGATCGAGTAACTCTTGTAAGTTCTGCTATTCAACGGAATGAAAGATGCAGTATTCTGACTAAGATTAGTCATTATCGTGCTCACTCTTGTACAAAATTGTTCCCCTTTGAAATTTGTGTCGCTGTTGGGATGGGAGGGGATTTTGCACTCCACTACGTCTGGTCAGTTCATGTTAATTAAAAGGTTGAGACCTGTGAAGAAATGGTACAAGTGAGCCACTCTGTTTACAAGACTTGGCAGTTCTTCACAAGATGACCTGTACAAGCACCATTCGGTGCCCACATGGAGCCATACTGCGCCAATTTTTTTCCAAGTTACGTTGGAACTATGCTAGAACTTGTTTCCTGAGGAACTAGGGCCGTGGCTTTTGGCAACAATAAGTTTTCTCCATTGAATGCAGCAGTGAATGTACTTCTTTTGATTCATGTGCGCAAACCACGCCCCCTCACCGACTCCGCCTCCAAAGCGGCATGAGAAAATATGCCTAACAGCCTAAGTTAGAAACCCTAGTAATTGACGACCTCGGCTTTCCCAGAGACGACTGAGGTTCATTTGAGATAGCTTCGAGATGTGTTTTTACAGTCTTCGTCGCTGCGCACGCTGGGGCGTGTCAGGGGGAAGGGTTTGGCGCGGCGCCAGCCCGTTTGCCACTAATTGTTGTAGAAGACAAGCGACAGCAGCTGGTGGAAAACGGGCTGGCGACACACCAAACTAAGCGCCTCCGACACGTCTCGCAGCGATTAAGGCTGTGCTCAAAGTGTTCTCGGAGGAACATTAACGTGAATTGGAATTAACCTATCTGACCTTTAAAATAGCCGCTGGCCTCCCAACACTGCTTCCGGAACCAGGAAGTAATTGCAATGTTGTGAGTTACTTCTTCCGGGAGTGCTTCGAGTCGTTTTAGTTGTCAACATGCTCTATAGCTTGTTTTTCTTCTTGAATCCTCCATAACAACGAGACTCGACGCACTAGACTGCCAAGTGAGGGAAACGTTGCAAGCTTGGCTACAAGACGAAGGAGGGGGGGAGGGGGGAAGAGGGAGGAATCCCCTGATTGACCTGATGGGCAATCGCTTATGTCGATTCGATGGCAGAAAACCGGAAATTCCGGGGAACTCGTCCGGGCTGGTCAACTCCTTTGAACTGAAAGTGACTTCTGAATGGGATTTGCTCTATGCAATGACTGTCGAGGGTTGGCCTGTGTGGAAGTCAGTGTTCTTGTCCTCCCAGACGAAGCTGGTAACAGTATACCGTCCCCGGAGGATAGAAGGCTTGGTATCCATGAAAATCAAGAAATAACAGAATTTTCGGCGCAGTTCGCGTTTGTGGGGGCACCGAATGGTACTCAGACTTAGCAGCTTTGAAGAGGGCAATTTGTGAATTCATGTGAATCCCCGTGACCATGTGTCGCATCCTTTCGCAGCTTCACAGGAGTTGACAGGCCTCTCTAAAGGGGCCTTATTAGCGCTGACCCTAAGTAAAGAAGCACCAAGTTGGAATGTGCAGAAATAGTCCCGAAAAGCCGCAGAAGCCGCAAAATTCGTACAATTTTTTGAAAGAAGAAATAAACATTGTCGGCGGTATTGTGGGCATATTCCCAGGCAAGGCCATGCATTTTGGTCTGTTTCATCGCCATGGGTAACAGGCTACTCACCGAATGGATGATTTGCTCGCCGAATGCCTCTGTGGAAGTGGAGTGAAAGCTCAGCTGCTTTCGGACGTTATAGCAACCAGAGTGAGGTGACAAGAAGCTCCTATTTTCAGCAGTGGCGGCACAATATGACGTGTTTCACGCGTTGGTACAGGGCGCTTTTAACGGAAGGGCAGAAGATGGGTAAGCTGTGTGTGCGCAAGCCGCACGCATATCTGATAAAGGCAGATCCGCGAGTGCCGCAAGGTTCAGGCGAACAGAGGACAAGATATGATAAGAGGGGAAATGAGCACGGGAGTGTGCAGGCCGAGCAAGACTACGAGCAAGTACCCCTTTTGCGTTACGATTGGGCGATAGTTTGTCCAGAGCGCAGCAACTCGGACATTCGGAGCCGCACTGCGAAACAGGAAATGATTGAAAAGAAAGAACTTTCCTATGTGGGAAAAACCCTTGTGCTCTTATTTCCCCACCTGGGCCAGAAATAATTAACGGCGCATATTTCAGGTGTCGATTTCTTGAGTGGACTCATGAATATGGCCAATCAGTTCGGAAATGCGAATAAGTCAGGTTAGTTGCTAAGATAGCAAGAAACAAACGTCCCTTCGAAGGTGCAGTCCTGTCCGATTGTGTGGGCATGGCACTGCATTCCGCATTAGCGCGCCCTTTTCTGCGTCTTGCAAAATAGGGACGTGCCTATAATGAAGGCGCAATGCGAGGCCTGGCCCCGCCCATACGACAACGAGGAATGTGGTTCAACAGATGTATTTCAGCACCGCAAGGCACGTCACAGTCTGGCTTCCAGTTGAGCCAAGAGGACATCGCCAGGATCACTGCCGGTCTTGGCACACTTGGTGGGTTCCTTTAATCATTCTCATTACTTCGCGGTGGAACCAACCACTATTTTCGCCAAGCTTTAACCTAGGCCCTAACTTCACGAGCCTTGTTTGGCTTGGGAGGGGTAGTTTGCACATTGGCTAATCCTGCTAAATCACACCTCACATCATGGCGAGACTTGTAGATTCTTGTCATGGGTAGCAGAACTTCTACTACTGCATAGCTTTACAGTAATTTACATGTCTCCACAGCAGGGATCTCCAGTGATTGATGGGAACTAGCAGGATGCCCCTACTAGGCCGAACTGTGTTCGTTTGCGTCCATTGAACCCCATTTTTCTAACTTTTTGATTCATTTCCATTGGAAAGCTAACTCTCATGCCGGCACGCCGAACACGAATATCGCGTCTATAGAGCGCAAAAACGCCTAAAGCAGCGTACTTCGCGGCAGCGTCCACCAGCGACTAGTAGGGTCCACCGGCGTTCTACGGCAGCGTCAGCGATTAGGAAAGCATAGATATCGACTGCCGTCTACCAGCGTCCACCAGCGACCAGCAGCATTTTCAGGGCTAGGAATGTGTAGGTTTTGGTCTAACGTCTGCCGACGTCTACCAGCGTCCATAAGCAACCAGTATGAGACTGCTCATAGAGGGTATGCGTGCGGCTATAGGAGGGTCCAAGCTAGCTCTTCATACTTGACCAGCTGTCTGCTACCTTCCTGTTGCCCCATACCCTCTACTCGGTACCGTGCTGGTCTGTCGACGCTGGCAAATGCTGGCTACACTTGAATCGATCAATCTAATACTTAGTCGTGTGATTGCTGTCGGACGCTCGGAACGCTGGCGGATGCTGTCGCAAAGTATGATCGCGACCTATCTCCGCCGTTAGTAGCAGGGTTCTGCGCCAACGCATTATTATATATGTCCGCTCTCAGGGTGCTAAAGTGAGAGGCGAATCTTAGGCGATACTGAGCTCTGACCAAGTTTTTGCCAGCTCTGACCAAGTTTTTGCCAGGAGCAAAGAGAGGCTTGAACTGTGTTAGTTTCCTGATCTGTAATAGGACTTCCTCCTTATGGTGCTATTTCATCCTTCTCTTTCCTTCGTTTTCCCCATCAGAGCAAGGTTTTCAAAATGAAAACTGTTTTAGCTACAACTTTCAAAGAAAAGACGTTTGGAGCTGGTGCAAACGAAGAAGCAGGTAGGTGTGCGTACATTTCAATGAGCCCCTAATCCATACTCACCTTCCAACTTTTCAGTTACTAAATTGGACTCGCAAGGCGGAAAAGTGCAAGTGTCGTCTGTGGTTGAAAAATCGGCGACGGCAACTGAACAACCTCCTTCTTCGGGTACTTCACACTTTTCTCCCTTCAGATGTCGTTTTTTGTAAGAAGTTCAATAAGTGAAAGCCTACAGCTGGGCTTAGTCCCCAGGAACTCGGGACTTCTATTGGCCTTGGAGGGATAGTGAGCGCCTATCACCTGGACGGAGCCACAGAACTGTGGATTTCAATTCCTTCTTATCCTGAATTCTCGCATTATTCAACCTATTCGAATTATGTCCTTTTGACCACGAGGTTTTTAGGTCTAAACCTCATCAGGCGCGTTCCCACCCAATGGTAAGGGCGGGACATGCTCTGGCGTCGGGAAAGCAGGGCCGAATGAGGAAAAAAAACTTAGCGAAATACGACCCCTCCTCCGGTCAAAATGCATTCGAACGTAGTCCCTTTATCCGCTTCGATTTCCTGTTTGTCTCTAAATCCTCTCTCCTCTCATACGACCCCTCCTTCCCTACACTGCCTCTTATCATCTACTACCATCTTAAATTTTCATAACTTAGGGGTTTTATGCCATTGGAACAGGAAAAATTAAGAAAGCAACCGCAAACATTTTCCCAAAGATAACTATGACCGCCCCTCCAGCTATCAAATACGACCTCCTCCGCTGGGTTCCACAACGTACGCCCAATGACAGGGGAACATTAATGCACCTAGCTCTCTCTGTGAGCTTATAGCAGAGTATTTCTTCAAAGGTAATGAGCACGACTGCTGAAGGCGTCGCTTTACCCGCCAACGTCAATCTGGTGAGAGAGCTGCGAGAGCTTGCTGGCCACACCCCTCCTCCGCATGGCGTCGGTGACAACCGCACCGCCGCCCCCAGCGATCGTGACCTCTTCTTTGAAGACCTGTACACATCTCACCTCGAAGACGAGTCTTGCCATGTGTGAGAAAAGAGTCCCACCTGCAGTAGCGTGCCAGTTTCTCCGCTCAAAATGTCCGGGCACGGGGGGGGGGCAGTAGTACAGTAGTGCTCGAGAGTTCTCTATACTTCCATAGCGCTATTGCCAAGTTAAGCACTCGAGTCGATACAAAACACGCGCTGTGCATTAGAGAACAACCACGAGTGAGAGAGGGTAGACAAGTAGCGGGGCTTGGTTACGGTTCAGGCTTGTGGCTGGCCTTAGGGCAGCGCGGGCGGACTATATAGACGGCACTTGGGTGACGCTACCCTCCAGCCCCGTCCAGATAAAGTGGCACGTTACTGCAGCTGCGGCCCAATGCTCCCCCACATTTCAGAACCGGAATCCACGGGGTTGAGTGTGTAGGTTGTCTTTAAGTCCCTGAAGACATTCTGTTTAGAAATACACCTAGCTTTGCCAATACAGTTGCTATGTTCGGTTTTTCCTTTTAGGTGGTGGTGATTTCTTGAGCGGACTGGTTAATGTTGCCAAAGATGTTGGAAAGTCATTTGGTGAGCACAATCAAGCTGGTTCCACCGCTAACACATCAGGTATGTACTGGGTAAATTCCAAAAAAGCTGAGATGAAATTTGAAAGCATCTTCAGGTAATGCTGCTCAGCAAGGCGGGTTCCAGTTCAGTCAAGAAGACATGGCCAGAATCACAGCTGGTCTTGGATCACTTCGTGGGTTATCGTACTTTTAAAAACTTAATTACAGGGTGGAACATGGCACCGATGCCTGAAAAGGGGCACGTCTGGGTGAGGGACTTTTCTTTTACTCGCTGGAGGAAAGGGGCCTCATTTGGCCTGAGAAAACCTTTTTGATTGTTAATGTTTCCTATTTCTCGCGCATTATAGTTCTGTTCGCTGCGGACGGCAGGCCACATTGTTGTTGGGGACTCCCAACAAGGGGGGGGGGGGTCGTATTTGGTTGCTGGGAGAGGAGTGGGTTCGTATTCCGGCTTATGAAGATTTTTTTGATAGTTGATTTTTCTTGTTCTAAGGACCGTTTCAGGAACAGGAGGAAATTTCTCGGGAAATTCCGCAAAAAGTGATTGGATGCTGGGGAATATCTAAGAAACGGTAGAGAGGGAGTCGTATTC